ATATCCCAAGATGTTGATAAAGAATTCCCACAGAAGATAGCACAGAGGCAAGTGCCACTTTTGACCCAGACAGTTTTAGGACACCCACTACTAAATTTTATTTATTTATTTGAGAGAGAGCGAGAGAGCGAGCACATGAGAGGGGAGAGGATGAGAGGGAGAAGCAGGCTTCCCGCTGAGCAGGGAGCCTGATGTGGGGCTCAATCCCAGGACCCTGGGATCATGACCTGAGCCAAAGGCAGACATTTTAACCAGCTGAGCCACCCAGGTGCCCTGCATTTTAATGTTTTGAAGTTAAAGGTCTCTGTCATTAAAGTCTTTTTTAAATGTTCGTTAAGGAAACCATATCAACAATATTTAATTGAGCATATCTGTAAGGCACCCTTCTAGTATTTTGAATGCTATGAGTTATAGTCCTTGCCTCTGGAAGCTTGTATTTGGAAGGTAACCATTGTGGAATTGGTGAAGAAATAACAGTGTTTTTTAAAATTTAGCACTTGAATCATTACTGGACTAATGATTGACTAGTTGGGTATCACTTTTTCATGCTACAGTTTGGAAAAACGGATCTGCCTATATATTTTGTAATCTGCCCTTTACCTTGATTGCATACTTGATGCACAGTTTGGGGGTTAAATGATGATCCAGGAGATCCTCTTTATAGATTCTGCCATGACCATGATTATAGTAATCAGCTGCTTTATTTTTTTTTATTTTTTAATTCTTTTTTTAAAGATTTGATTTGACAGAGACACAGCGAGAGAGGGAACACAAGCAGGGGGAGTGGGAGAGGGAGAAGCAGGCTTCCCACTGAGCAGGGAGCCCGATGTGGGGCTCGATCCCAGGACCCTGGGATCATGACCTGAGCCTAAGGCAGACACTTAACGACTGAGCCACCCAGGTGCCCCAGTAGTCAGCTGCTTTAAAATTGGCCATTTAATGAAACCTTTGGGTAAAAGTAACAAGAACTTCCCATTATGTACTAGGCATTGTACCACTTGCTTTAGTCTTTATAACCTTGGTGGTATTTTTCATTTCTATAGGAGGAAATAGAGATTCATTTAATTCGGCCAGTTATTGAGCTTATAAATGGCAAAGTAAGGAGTCAAATGTAGGTTGATCTGATTCTAAAGCTTATACTTTTTCTACTTTTTTTTTTTTTTAAAGATTTTATTTATTTATTTGAGAGAGAGCGAGAGAGCGAGCACATGAGAGGGGAGAGGATCAGAGGGAGAAGCAGACTCCCTGCTGAGCAGGGAGTCTGATGCGGGACTTGATCCTGGGACTCCAGGATCATGACCTGAGCCAAAGGCAGTCGCTTAACCAACTGAGCCACCCAGGCGCCCTACTTTTTCTACTTTTATTTTAGAAGGTTGGGCTGGCAAATTTTCTTTTGAACAGTAAAGAATTGCGTATTTCTGCAATTTAGTGCCTATCCTGATTTCAGTAGCTGTATGGGATAATACAAAGGGTATTAGTGTTGGAGCCAAGCAGATTCTTTAGGCATTTGCCATTCACCTTCCTGCCATTGTATTATTTTTTGCCTTATTCTTAGTTATTTGATTGAAGAACACATTTTTGAGGAGAATCTTTCGTGGAGAAAAGGAACAGGACACATGTGATTAAAAAGGTGGTAGTACCACTTTCTAAATAGTAGATTGATCTGGACAGAGTGTCAGGGTAGTTGGGGTCTGACTTCTGGTGCCAGGCTCTCCAATTAACACTGACTTCGGGCAAATCTCCATGCCTCTTTGGGCTCCAGTCTCTCTAGGTCTTATGAGGCAAATTCATTTTGACTTTAGGCGGTTCACCAACCCAAACAAGCAAAAAAACTTCATGCCTCAGTTTATGTATATATAAAGTGAATAGGGTGACCAGGTGGTCTGGCTTTTCTGTACCATCCCAGTTTGAACTCACATCTTCAAAGTAGCTTGCTTTGGCTACTATACAAATGACATGGTCACCCTAAAAATGAAGATACTTGAATATCTGATTAAAAACTGGTTTTATAGGATTTATTTGAAACTGAAAACCCTTTAAGGCATTCTTTTATTTAAAAAAAAATTTTTTTAAAGATATTATTTATTTACTTGAGAGCGAGCACAGAGGGAGAGGAAGAAGCAGACTCCCTACTGAGCCGGGAGCCTGATGTGGGGCTGGATCCCAGGACCCTGAGATCATGACCTGAGCCACACAGGCGCCCCCATTTTTTAGTTTATTCTAGGCTCCTCCACTGTTGTTTTATACCCAGCTCTCTTAGGTAGTTTGAATTACCTGCCTACTCCTGAATTCATTAGCAATATGTAATGACAGTAATCTAATACTAGCAGATAAAAATAACTAACCCACAAATTCAGTTTGGTTTTCTTACTCCCTTTTCTTCCTTAACCTAGGCTTTTGAAATTTTGACTTAAGTGCATTTATTTCTTTTAGCATTCTATAATCATTCACGTTGCTAAACTGTCTTAATGATAATTTTAGAGAGGATAATAAACCAGTGGTTGTACCATAATTTTTTTGTTTTATTTTTTATTATGGGAAATGAACCTCCATGTATGTATTATCATTGCTTTGACATTTATCAACTATTAAGACTCGTTTCATCATCTGCACACCTCCACTGGATTATTTTGAAGCAAATTGTAAACATATTTCTTTACCGTAAGAATTTCAGTATAGATCTCTAAAAAGATAAAGATTTTATTTTATTTTATTTTATTTTTTTAAAGA